AAGTCCACCGTCAGGAGGTGGAGGGACACCAAGTCCAAGTCCACCATCAGGAGGTGCAGGGACATCAAGTCCAAGTCCACTGTCAGGAGATGCAAGGACAGCAAGATCAAGTCAAACGTCAGGAGGTGCAGAGACATCAAGTGCAAGTCTACTTTCAGGAAGTGCAGGGACACCAAGTCCAAGTTCACCGTTAGGAGGTTCAGGGACATCAAGTCCAAGTTCACCACCAGGAGGTAGAAGAACATCAAGTCCACCATCTGGAGGTGCAGGGACACCAAGTCCACGTCCATAGTCAGGAGGTGGAAGAACATCAAGTCCAAGTCTACTTTCATGAGGTGCAGGGACACCAAGACCAAGTCCATCATCAGGAGGTACAGGGACACCAAGTCCAAGTCACCAAGTCCAAGTCCACTGTCAGGAGGTGCAGAGACATCAAGTCCAAGTCCACCATCAGGAGGTGCAGGGACTCCAAGTCTAGGGTGAGTATCCTGTGCACACACAGGGACCACCGTCAAGTGCATGGTTAGAGAACTGCAACACCAAGTCCAAGTCCACTAAAGAAACAGCACTGAGCGTGTGTGCATACAGGTCTGTGAGAGTGTATGAACACAACATGATTTTGTATGAATGTGAGCACATCTGTGACGGGAACGTGAATGACTGTGTGAACATACATGTGCGTGCATGTGTGCATGTGTGTCGGTAGGCATTTATACTCACGTGTATGCATGTCGAGTCTATTTGTAAGAGGGGCCGGTCCTTGGAAAAGGACATCATGCTTGGAGAAGCAGAGGGTCAGTGAAGGAGAGGGAGACTCAGCAAGAGGGGTGACATGGTGATTATGACAACGGCGTAAAAAGACCGTGAGGATGATGCAGGATCAGGGACGATTCCAGTGTGCTGTCCACAAGGCCACCATCAGGTGGTGTCCATTCAGTGACATCGAACAATGACGACCTATGTGTGAGTGTGCATGTGTGTATGTGTGCGAGCATGCAGTGTGCTTGTATACATCGATACACATTTGTGAGTGTGCAAATATTCATGTGTGTGCATGGCTGTGTGCGTGGATATGTCTGCATGAAAGCACATGTGTGAGCACGTGAGTATTTATGTGTGTGCACACTTGAGTGTGTGGTGTATACAGGAGCAACATGAGCACACTCATGTGTGAACACGTGTGTGCATGCATGTCGAACATGCTAGGACACACACGTGTACACACACTAGTGATCACACATGTGCCCATTAGTG